CTGTAAGATCCTTCCGCTCAGCAGGCTCCGGCCTGCACCATGTCTATTGCCCGACCCAACCCACCATCACGAGTTGGGCCTCCAGCATCTCTGCCCACAACCACTGGAATTGCATTCCACAATTCCTTTGCCTTGATCCCTCACTTGCCTCCAGGGCGGGTCCCAGCCAGGGCGGGTCCCTGCGAGTTGCAATAGTTGAGTTTGGAAGCGGTGTAAGTGTCTCAGCAGGAGGTGTGGGATGTGGGGAGCAATAGTGCAGGAAGTAAAATTTGAAGCGTTAAGCAGAGAAAGTAGAACTAATGAGAACTTGTATGCCTGCGAGAGAGAGAGAGAGAGAGAGTGTTCAATGTGCAGGTCAATGAGGTCAATGACTGAGTTGAGAAGGTGTGGATGGGAGCTATGTATGAAAACCTTACCCCAGAAATTTAAAACTCCTCCAAGATTTGATGATGTAACTGAAAACTGACTGGAAAGTTGAAAGGAGAAACAGCAGCATTAACAACTGTTACTTCTATTATGTGTATTTACTAAAATGGCATTAACAAGTGTTACTAAACTGTTTATTTACTGAACCGGACGTTAAAACAGTGTAGGAAGAGATGGTTATACATACAATGAATGTTTAACTGATAACCCAATTGCTCAGCAGTCTTCAGTGCTGGATGTTCCACCACACAGTAAACGTACTGTCCATTCATCTCTCTGGTTGCAGATAGACGAAGTGGGCTTGAGACGTTTACAGTTCCATCAGGAGCAGGACGTGTGGCACTCTGAGTAAAACTGACAATGAAAGGACCTTTCCAATGTATAGAAGCGGCTGGCTTTGCATTTTTTGCGAGACAGGTGGCTATGGTGCTTTCTCCACTGTCAGCCACAGGGATGTCTGGATACGGTTCTATGACAACAGTGGGAGTAACTAAAGAGGAAACAAAAGGGAATAAATAACAAAACAGGCATTAAAATTGATGTGGTACTCTGTGTTGGAATGCTTCACACAATGATTTACAAAGAATGGTAACTTTAGTTGTGTAAATAAATGCAATCGCT